GCAGGAGAGAAAACCGACAAAAGAAGGCTCTCTGTGGACCAGGCATGTAGCCGGGGGGGGGGGGCTTGAGGGGCTTCAGCCCCCCCCCCCGAAATTCTCATGGGGGGTCCACGAGAAGGCCTTACTGGTGTATTATTTAAACTGTTATGTTTATTCATATCATGATCTGATCACCATACTTAATATCCCATATGCATGGGGGTATTGGGGTAATGATACAAAAGGTTTGCTAGGGTAGACCCTCTTTCACTCAGACTCAGCCCCCACCGAATCAAACTCAGCCCCCCCCCCCCCCCGAAACGAAATCCTGGCTACGGGCCTGCCGTGGACAGTTCCTGGGAAAAATTGAGAGCCAAATTGACAAAGAAAAAACATGGCTGTTTCTCACAAATTGACCTTTTTTTGAAAAAGGAGATGGAGGGCTTGATTCTGGCAGCCCAAGAACAGGCAATTAAAATGAATGCCATCAAAGCCAGAATTGAAAAGTCGACAACAGATCCTAAATGTAGACTCTGCAAGGAAGCAGACGAAACAATGAATCACATACTCAGGTGCTGCAAGAAGATTGTGCGGACGGACTACAAGCAGAGGTATAATACTGTTGTTCAGATGATCCATTGGTACCTGTGCCACAAATACCATCTGCCTGTGACAAGGAACTGGTGGGATCACAAGCCTGAAAAAGTTACAGAAAATGAACAGGTCAAACCACTCTGGAACTTCCGAATTCAGACTGACAGAGTTTTGGAGCACAATACTCCTGACCTTACAATCGTGTTAAAAAACCAAGTATGGATCATCCGTGTTGCAATCCCAGGTGACAGCATAATTGAAGAGAAACAACTGGAAAAGCTGACACGATATGAGGATTTAAAGATCGAAGTGCAAATACTCAGGCACAAGCCAGTCAAGGTGGTCCCAGTGGTGATCAGCACACTGGGTACAGTGTTTAAAGACCTTGGCCTGCACTTAAACACAATCGGCGCTGACAAAATGATCATCTGCCAGCTGCAAAAGGTCACCCTACTGGGATCTGCATGCATTATTCGCTGATATATCACACAGTCCTAGACACCTGGGAAGTGTCTGACGTGTGATCCAATACAACAGCCAGCATAGTGACCTTGTTTGTTGTGTTTCAAACTGTTATGTTTATTCATATCATGAGCCCTGGTCGCTCTCTGGAATGGGGAGATGGCTAGGGCAATAGACACGATCGCTCCAGAACGTCCCCTCTCAAGTAGCCGAGCTAAACCAGCCCCTTGGTTTACTGAGGAGCTGGCAGCGTTGAAGCGAAAGAAGAGGGAACTAGAGAGCGTGTGGCGTTCGGACCCGAGCGAGCCAAATCGAACACGGTTTGTGTCCTTTTTAAGGGCATATGCCGCGGCAATAAAAGCCGCAAAGAAGACTTTCTTTGCGGCCACTATTGCGTCTGCAAAGAACCGTCCGGCTGAACTGTTCCGAGTTGTCAGAGGCCTTTTAAATCCCACCACGCAGGATGGGAGCCCTGATGACTCGGCAGCTCGCTGTGAAGCCTTTGCTCAGTTCTTTGCAGACAAAGTCGCTTTGATCCGCTCCGGTCTGGATACCACATTAACGGCAGTCTCTGAGGATGTAACACGAGCATCTGCTTGTCCAGTTTTGATGGATTTATTTCAATTGGTGAAACCCGAGGATGTGGACAAGGTGCTTGGAGGAATGAGAGCTACCACATGCATCCTAGATCCCTGCCCATCCTGGCTTCTAAAGGAGGCCAGAGGGGGATTGGCCGAGTGGGTAAAGGTGGTGGTTAATGCCTCCCTTCGGGAAGGCAAAATTCCAGCCAGCTTAAAACAAGCTGTAATAAAACCACTGTTGAAAAAACCATCACTGGACACCACTCAATTCGTCAACTATCGGCCTGTTTCCAATCTCCCCTTCTTGGGCAAAGTCCTGGAATGTGTGGTGGCCTCAGAACTCCAGACATTCTTGGTAGACACGGATTATCTGGATCCGGCACAGTCTGGCTTTAGGCCGGGGCATGGTACCGAGACAGCCTTGGTCGCCTTAGTGGATGATCTGCGCCGGGAGCTCGACAGGGGGAGTGTGTCCCTGTTGGTGCTGCTGGACCTTTCAGCGGCCTTCGATACCGTCGACCACGGTATCCTTCTGGGACGCCTCGCGGGGATGGGTCTTGGAGGTACTGTTTTACAGTGGCTCCGCTCATTCCTGGAGGGTCGGTCTCAGAAGGTGTTACTGGGAGACTCCTGTTCAACCCCACAACCTTTGTCTTGTGGGGTTCCTCAGGGTTCAATACTGTCTCCCATGTTGTTTTATTGTTTTTTTTTTTTTTTTTTTTTTTTTTTTTTTTTTTTTTTTTTTTTTTTTTTTTTTTTGTTTTTTTTTTTTTTTTTTTTTTTTTTTTTTTTTTTTTTTTTTTTTTTTTTTTTTTTTTTTTTTTTTTTTTTTTTTTTTGTTTTTTTTTTTTTTTTTTTTTTTTTTTTTTTTTTTTTTTTTTTTTTTAGTTTTTTTTTTTTTTTTTTTTTTTTTTTTTTTATGTTGTTTAACATCTACATGAAGCCGCTGGGGGAGATCATCCGGAGTTTCGGAGTGCGATGTCATCTGTACGCGAATGATGTCCAACTCTGTCACTCCTTTCCACCTGCTACTAAGGAGGCTGTCGAGGTCCTGAACCGGTGCTTGGCCGCTGTGACGGTCTGGATGGAGGCGAACAAATTGAAATTGAATCCAGACAAGACAGAGGTACTCCTGGTCAGTCGTAAGGCCGAACAGGGTATAGGGTTACAGCCTGTGTTGGATGGGGTCGCACTCCCCCTGAAGACGCAGGTTCGCAGTTTGGGTGTGATCCTGGACTCACCGCTGAGCCTGGAACCCCAGGTCTCGGCGGTGACCAGGGGAGCATTCGCACAGTTAAAACTCGTGCGCCAACTGCGCTCGTACCTTGGGAAGTCTGACTTGGCCACGGTAGTCCATGCTCTGGTCACATCCCAATTAGATTACTGCAACGCTCTCTACGTGGGGTTGCCTTTGAAGACGGTTCGGAAGCTCCAACTAGTCCAACGCTCGGCAGCCATGATACTAACAGGAGCGGAGCGCAGGGAGCATACTACTCCTCTGCTGCACCAGCTCCACTGGCTGCCGATTTGCTACCGAGCCCAATTCAAAGTGCTGGCATTGGCCTTTAAAGCCCTAAACGGTTCTGGCCCAACCTACCTATCCGAACGTATCTCGGCCTATCAGCCCGCCAGGACCCTTAGATCTTCTGGGGAGGCCCTGCTCTCTATCGCGCCTGCTTCACAGGTGCGGCTGGAGGGGACGAGAGACAGGGCCTTTTCTGTGGTGGCCCCTCGGCTGTGGAACGCCCTTCCCATGGAGGTAAGATCAGCACCCTCGCTAATGGTGTTCCGGAAAAGATTAAAAACCTGGATGTTTGAACAAGCATTTGGTTAATCAGTGCAATGAACGTGACGATTACAGGAAAGGAAATATGGACGACGAATCTGGATCACGACTCTAGTTATGAGATGCATTGTGTTGTTATTGTTGTGTTGATATTGTATATTGTGCTTTTATGGTTTTAAATTGTATATTGTTGTTGATTATCTTGCTGTAAACCGCGTTGAGTCGCCAGTTAGGCTGAGAAACGGCGGTATACAAGTAAAGTAAATAAATAAATAAATAAAATAACAATAATAATAACAATAGGACTTTTGGTTTCTCTATGCAATCATTTAATATTTATTGAGAGGATGTGTGTGTACACGTTTAAAAAGGGTACCCTCTTCTACTAATCTTGTTGTATTTCAAATAATAATAATAATAATAATAATAATAATAATAATAAGATACAAATGCCTACTGTTTAGTTTTGGAGTTGTAGTCCACCTACATTCAGAGGGTTTTGGAGTTGTAGTCCACCTACATTCAGAGAGTTTTAGAGTTGCAGTCCAAATACATTCAGAAAGTTTGGGAGTTGTACTTTACCTACATTCAGAGAGTTTTGGAGTTGTAGTCCACCTACATTCAGAGAGTTTTAGAGTTGTCATCCACCTACATTCAGAGCAGGCATGTAGCGGGGGCTTGGGGGGCTTGAGCTCCCCCCCCCCCGAAATTCTCATGGTGGTTCGCAAAAAGGCCTTACTGGTGCATTATTTAAACTGTTATGTTTATCCATATCATGATCTGATCACCATGCTCAATATATCCCATATGCATGGGGGTATTGGGGTAACAATACCAAAGGTTTGCTAGGGTAGATCCTCTTTCACTCAGACTCAGCCCCCCCCCTGAAACAAACTAACCCACCACCCCCCCCCCCGAATCGAAATCCTGGCTACGGGCCTGATTCAGAGGGTTTTGGAGTTGTAGTCCACCTACATTCAGAGGGTTTTGGAGTTATAGTCCACCTACATTCAGAGAGTTTTTTAGTTGTCGTCCACCTACATTCAGAGAGTTTTGGAGTTGTAGTCAACCTACATTCAGAGAGTTGGGAGTTGTAATCCACCTACATTCAGAGGGTTTTGGAGTTGTAGTCCACCTACATTCAGAGAGTTTTGGAGTTGTAGTTCACCTACATTCAGAGACTTTTAGAGTTGCACTTCACCTATATTGGTCCAGCTAGCTGGAACAAAGTTGGCACAAATACTCAATATGCCCAAATGTGGAGTTTGGGGAAATAGACCTTGATATTTGGGAGTTATAGTTGCTGGGATTTATAGTTCACTTTCAATCAAAGAGAATTCTGAATCCCACCAACCATAGAACTGGGCCAAATTTTCCACATAGAAATTGTGTTTTCAGCTGATCTTTGACGACTCCTCTGACACCCCCCCCCCCCCCCCCCCCCCCCAAACAACCCCCACCCACCCCACCCAGGAGTCCCGACCCCCAGATTGAGAGACAGAGAAGTGCTTCCCTGGGCTTCATTAGTTCTTTCCAATCGTGTCATTCCAGCGCATTGACCACCAGGGGTCGCTGTCTGCTGACTCCGGCGGCGCCTCCTCCCTTCCCTTCGCACGTGGTTGCAGATGGCTGCTTCCAGAAGGCTGCTGGAGCAGGAAGAGCTCGCTTAAAGGGTCAGTAAGTATGGGGCTGGAATGGCAGCCTGGGGTTGGGGCTGGAGATGACCACTTGGGGGGAAAGCAGAGGGGAAAGAAACCCAAGATCGGAGGAGGAGGAGGACAAGGAGGAAGGGCTCTTTGCTGGGGTGGGTGGGTTTGACACAGAGAGGAAAGAGAATAAGACTATACTTGATTATGGGGCTCTCTTTAGGATGGGCACTGGGGAATTGTCAATCCCATTGCCATCCTTCCAAACCAAGGTAGTTTCAGATTGCCTTCATGTTGGAATAATTCCTCCACATCGGTGCCTTCCGGGTGAAGTGGACTCCAGCACCCATCATCCCCTTTTACCAGTATCTAATTGGGAAATACTGCATGTGGTCTTTTAAGGGGAAATCCTGGTTGGATCTGGCAGAGATTATAACTGTTTTCTACATCTTGCAATGGAGTTTTGGTATATATATTAATCAAAAGGCCTTCATATAAATTTGTGAGCTGAGCCACAGTGAGAGATAGTTTTCTCAATCCTGGGTCTCACTTAAAACTTGAGAAAACCTCACCTTTTAAATTTTTATATAATTTTAAAAAATGTTCTGACATACGATTCTTCGCAGATGCTTTGGGGCCTTCCAAATCCTTCCCCTCCTCTGGAATCTAGTTATATAATCCATACAAGAAGCATGTAAAGTAGATTAGTAATATTATTTCTGTCCCATCGTAGTGTCGTGGTTTGAGTGCTAGACTACAACTCTGGAGATCAGAGTTCAAATCGCCCATTGGCTATGAAGTAAAAAAAGTAAAGGTTTCCCCTTGATATTAAATCTAGTCGTGTCCGACTCTGGGGGGAAGGGGTGGTGCTCATCTCCATTTCTAAAACGAAGAGTTGGCGTTGTCCATAGACACCTCCTAGGTCATGTGGCCAGCATGACAGCATGGCGCGCTGTTACCTTCCAGCAGAAGCTGTACCTATTGACCTACTCACATTTGCATGTTTTCAAATTGATAGGTTGGCAGAAGCTGGGCCTAACAGCAGGAGCTCACCCTGTTCCCCGGATTTGAACCACCAACCTTTAGGTCAGCAAGTTCAGAAACTCAGTGTAAAGCTAAAAGTTTCCCCTTGACATTAAGTCTAGTCATGTCCGACTCTGGAGGTTGGTGCTCATCTCCATTTCTAAGCCGAAGAGCTGGCATTGTCCATAGATGCCTCCAAGGTCATGTGGCCAGCATCACTGCATGGAGTCCCACTGTGCCATTACCTTCCCGCCAACTCACATTTGCATGTATTCGAACTGCTAGGTTGGCAGAAGCTGGGCCTAACAGCAGGAGCTCACCCCGCTCCCTGGATTCGAACTGCCAACCTTTAGGTCAGCAAGTTCAGCAGTTTAACCTGCTGCGCCACCAGGGGCCCCTAATTGGCTATTTATCTATTTATTTATTGTTCAAACTTATGAAACCCAGTGCTAAATATTGTGGTCACACTCTCTCAGCCTTGGAGGAAGGCAAGTACAAACCCACTCAGAAAAGATCTTGCCAAGAAAACACGGTGATAGGACAGCCATAGGTCAGAAACTACGTCAAGTCACACAACAACAACAACTCTCCACCTGTATTGGAAAGACTGAGTGACTGGCTAAGGTCACATTTTCATATTATTCAAACTACAAATTCTCTGATGTATCATTTAGTTGCTTAGCTGTTATATCTTCACAGGACAAGGTTGGACGTCGTAATTGTTATTGTTAATATTACCGCGCCTTCCATTTATACACATTATTCTTCATAATAGGGTTGTTGCAATCCAGTTGCCTTTTGGGAGTTGGAAAAGGATATTGGAGACCTGCGGAAGATTAAACTCCAATCCTCTGAGGTAGATTTAACTGAAACCCCATGCACACTGCCATATAATCCCAGTTTCTGAATGCAGATTATCTGCATTGAAGTTATAATTTGCTTTATATGTTGGGTTGTCAATTTTTGTTTTTATGGGTATATTGTAGTTATGTTTAGGCATTGAATATTTGCCTTTTATGTTTGGAATCCGTCCTGAGTTATTTCCGGGAGATAGGACTGAATATAAATAAAGTTGTATTATTGTTGTTGTTATTGTTTATTCATTCAGCCACTTCCGACTCTTTGTCATCTCATGGACCAGCCCACGCCATTATTATATTGTTATTATTTATTATTAATAATTTATTATTATCTAATTGGCCTGGTAATCTTTCCTATTGCTGCTTTATTGCCCTGGCTTGAAAGCTTGGTCCCAAAGCCAAGTTTTTACCATCCTTTTGAAGGACAGGAGGGAGGGGGCCAATTTGATCTCACCAGGAAGGGAGTTCCATAGCTGGGGGGACAATCACCAAGAAGGTCCTATCTCTCTCGTTCCCACCAGTCGTGCCTGTGACAATGCCGGGATGGAGATCAGGTCCTCCCCTGAGGATCTTAAATCTCCACGATGGTTCATAGGGGGAGATGTGTTCGGATTAACACTGGGACCACCTGTACTGGTTTATGCCAGAGCCTTTGCAGTTCGATTTTGGGGTCCTGATTACTATTATTAAAATCATATGGTAGTGTAAACTCATATAATCTAGTTCAAAGCAGTTAATCTGCTTTCTGAAAGTGAATTATATGGCAATGCAGATCCTACCTCAGAGTTGAGGAACTGGTGCAGGATTTGAACCTGGATCTTCTAATGTCTTTCCTGACATAACCAACTCTTACGCTGACTGAGCTTCTCAGTGCACTCTGAAATGGTCAGTCCTGGGGACTGTACTGTTTCTCCAGTGAGATTGCTGCACTACCACTAAACACGCAACATCATACCTTTTTAGTGGTACAATATGACCTCTCTACTCAATTGATTTGATAACTCCAGTTTCACTCATGCATTCTCAAAAAAAAAAAAATTCCCTGGAAGTTTTTATAGACTCTTCTGGGTCCTCCAATGTGTTTTATGTGGTGCTTCTGGCCCAAGTGTCATCAAAATATAGCGTTTTGTATTATCCATGTTCTCAGGTATCCTCAATGCATTAGAACACACAGATATGGAGGCCGTACTATATTAAAAAACATAACACAATCATATTTTCCTTGTAGGAATAACTGGATGAGCTTGGGGAAGTTTGTTGACTCTTAGATGTGGCTTCAACTCACTTCTTCTCTCTCTACTTTTGCATTACAAGCTCTGTGAGTTGCTGTCCCCGGCTGGTGCTGCGTTCTTCAACCATGGCTGAAGGAGGAGCTGACGGCAACCAGCCGCCCCGGGAACATCCCCGCAGCCTCCAGGGTTTGTTGCAGATGGCAGTGACTTCGGGAACTGCTGAGCCTGGTCCAATGGAGCCCATGTCAGATGAGGTACTTCGCTTGCGAGGAGGAAGAATATAATCAATGATCATGTCTGAGAAAGCAAGGACACTTGTTGGAGATTTCCTGGGCAGAGAAGTAGGATCTTATTAGGCTCTACTGAGAGATGGCTGAGAATGAATACTCCAGCCAAAATGTATATTTTTAAGTTTTGGGTAGCATAGGGAAGGCTTAACACCCTTGTGATATTTGTTTTGTTGCCTGTGCCCTGTTCAGAAGATTTCACCTCGCTTCTTGTTCCTGTGACAATTGAATTTTGAAATTTTTGGGTTGTTGTGGAAACAAGGATTGGTGAGAAAGTTTCAGTGGAGACACTCTTTTCCCCATGATAATTCTTCCAGGAGTGAATTTTGCTTCTGATGGCCAGATTTCTTCTCACTTCCTGTTGTCTCAGCCCTGTTTGTAACTAGAAGCCCCATGTAAGACGGCTGTTTGTAACTCGGGGACTGTTTCTGCATGGCAGAAAAAGTAAAAGTAAAAGAATTAAACAGTTCTTTTACTTTTACAATTAAACAAGTAAAAGAATTAAACAGTTCTCTATTCTCAGATTTACAATCTGATTAAGACATGGTACAAAAAGAAAAAGGGAAAGTGGTGTGGAAGGGGATCAAGTCCAGCGGATACTGCCTCTTCTCTCTCTCTCTCTCCAAAGCCAAAGGCAGTGGCAGTTGGAATGGAGAGGAGGCCCACTTTTAGGCCCAGACCTGGAAGATTCCAGGAAGTGACAAGGTTAGGAGGAAGGGTCTCGTTCATACAAGGTGTTCTCCACCCAACTGGCATTTCTGGTTTGTTTTCCTGCCCTAGATCACAGTAGTGGTGCCAGTGGTTACCAGTCTGGAAAGCAAGGAACACTTGTAGTTAGTGGGCACAAATATGGTGCCAACCCTGATCCATTGAGAAAAAATTGCTACAAACTCCACCACATCCGTTGCCTTAGGCACTGCTCTAGCTTACTGTTTTGTTGTACAGTAAAACCCCTTATCTGCAAAACCCATATCCATGTTTTGGTCTTGCTATGTCCTCCAGGTGATTCTATAGTGTCCTTCCCCCAGAAGTTAGGATAGAATTTCCCTGACAAATTCCTAGAGGGAATACCTTACTATCGTGCTGTAAATGCTTAACTCTGTTACCAACTATAGAGATGTTCAATGTTTTGTTGAAGGCTTTCATGGCTGGAATCACTGGTGTGCTGTGAGTTTTCCAGGCTGTATGGCCATGTTCCAGAAGCATTCTCTCCTGACTTTTCGCCCACATCTATGACAGGCATCCTCAGAGGTTGTGAGGTCTGTTGGAAACTAGGCAAGTGAGGTTTATATATCTCTGGAATGTCCAGTGTGGGAGAAAGAATTATTGTCTTTTTGAGGCAAGTATGAATGTTACAATTGGCCACCTTGATTAGCATTGAATAGACTTGAAGCTTCAAAGCATGGTTGCTTCCTGCCTGGGGGAAATCCTTTGTTGGGAGGTGTTAGCTGACCCATGAGTTCTTCCTCCCACCCTGGGCATTCCACAGATATATAAGCTTCGCATGCCTAGTTTCTAACAGACCTCACAACCTCTGAGGATGCCTGCCATAGATGTGGATGAAACATCAGGAGACAATGTTTCTGGAACATGGCCATACAGCTCGGAAAACTCATAGCAACTCTCTGGTACCAAGTGTTCAGGCCTGCCTCCTTGCATTGTATTTTATTGACTGGCTTTAGCAGGTCTCCTCTCTCTGGCTTAACCCTCATCAGCTTCTTGTATCTGCTTGGTCCTGTCATTTCCATTTTTTTCATCCTTCCATGTCCTTCACCATTCTTTATTTATCTCCCTTTTTAGTCACTGTTGTTGATTTCTGGAATAAGGTAGAGATTTCATTCCTTCCCAAGTGGTTGAATGGGAGTTGGCTGTCTTCTGCATGGATGTATCCCAAAGACATAATGTTGAGACCAAAATACATGGGTGGGGAATTTTGTGCTCAGAAGTCCACATGTGAACCCCAACCTCTTTTTTCTGAAATTTCCCAGGAAACCTGAAAAGCTCACAGATACTTTTAAAAATAGTTTTTCTTTCTGTACTAGCGACTTGAAATAACCCAAACCATAATGAAACTACCTAAAGGTTTGTTGAGTTGTTTAGATTTGTTGGCCTCTGTGTTAAAAAGACCCTTCCAACCTTTAAAAAAGGTAAAAAGTCAATTCAGTTTGTAAACTATTTTCTGAATAAATGTTACTTCTGATATACCAGTGTTATACCAACCCAAATTAAGTTGTAAAGGTTGCTAATTATTTCGGTTTTCTGGAAATGTCCTTTTTCTTTTCGGGGGAAAACTTCGAGACCCGCCCTCAATAGTTTCACAATTTCCAGAAAACTTGCAGATCAGTAAGACTCACAGGACTAAGTTGGGCACATCATGTCCTATCTGCACTGCTGTACAGAAGCCCAAATGTAATTCAGTCAAACTCAAGAGATGGAAGCTGAAGTTGAGATTTTTTGAACGGCAAGGAGGTAGCTATCAGAAGGTCAGTGATAGATTTGTCTGTAACTATTTCCTTTCTCTTTCTTTACCCCAACTGTCAATTTCCTGCAATCCAGCGGCGGCAGTGGTTACAGGAGGCCATGGTGGAGGCATTCCGGGGGCAAATGGACGAGGTCGAGCAAATGAAAGAATGCCTTCAGCTGCTGGAACCTTCAACCCCTGGTGCTGAGCGTGGGGAGAGTTCAAATGAAACCCAATCGGACCTCGATCAGCGAAAGGGTGCCTTGGACATCCTGGCGGAGTTGTGTGAAAACATGGACAATGCTGCAGGTATGGAAAGGGCCTTCTTTATGTGTGTGTGTAGGAGACATTAAGACCTTCTGTGTAACCCATCTTGAGCTTTCTGGAGTAAAGACTAGATAACAATAACAACAGCAACAACACTATTTCACTCTATCTCCCGAGAGGACTCAGAGTGGATTACAACATACAAATAGGCAAACATTCAGTGCCTTTAATTATTATTATTTATTTATTTACAGCATTTATATTCCGCCCTTCTCACCCCACAGGGGACTCAGGGCAGATTACAATGTACATATACATGGCAAACATTCAATGCCATAGACACACAACACACAGAGGTTATTTAACATTCCAGCTTTTTCATGAGGGTATTCTGGCCACCAGGGGAGCTGTTGCTTCACTGACCATTTGTGACACTGATGAAGTACTTCCTCATTTTTTGCATGCTTGCTGGAGATTTTTATGGTATCATAAATTTTCTACTTAACAGATGCAACTGTCTTTCAGGTTGCAAAGGTCGACAGCTACACAAATTGGTCAAAAGCTCACTCTAACCCGGGCTGGTTTTGAACTGAGGGAAAGCAAGGAAATTGAGACTATCCCGTTTGACTGTTTGATCAGAAGGAAAGCTATCCTGTTGTGAAGCCTGAGTGAGGCGCTAAAAAGCTTTCTGTGGTCAGAAGAGGTTGAGCCTTTACTACTTCCAAGTTCTGTAGGCCTGTCCTAGACTAATGTCTCAAACTGTTGGAGGGCCGGATTATAATTTGAAAAAAATATGAAGTAATTCCTATGCACACTGCACATATCTTATTTGTAGTGCAAAAAAAACTTTAAAATAAAGAATAATTAAAATGAATAACAATTTTAACAAATATAAACTTATTAGTATTTCAATGGGAAGTGTGGGCCTGCTTCTGGCTGATGGTTCACAACCATCATCTTCATAACTTGAGGGCTGTTCAGCAGTGGAACTGTCTGCCCTGGAGTATGGTGGAGGCTCCTTCTTAGGAGGCTTTTAAACAGAGGCTGGATGACCGTCTGTTGGGGGTGCTTTGAATGCGATTTTCCTGCTTCTTGACAGGGGGTTGGACTGGATGTCCCACAAGGTCTCTTCCAGCTCTAGGATTCTATGATCTGGCAGTTTGCAAAGTGTTTACAGTAAAGATAAAAGTTTTAAGGTTTGAGTACAATTGTAGTCCTAGTCCCTGGCATGTTAAAGGAAAAAAATACTGTTCCCCTCATCAGATAGCCTGAAAGCACTACTATAGGCAAAAAGAGCATGTGTTGCCTATAACAGTGAAAAGTGCTTATTTAGCAAATAGCCAGTGATGACTCAGAGGAGTGAATTAGGCTGCAGAGACTGTAAAGAAGAGAGTGGAAAATCAGCTTCTAAAAATTACTTTTGGGTTGCAAGTCCTGGTGACCTCTAACTATGCTGGCTGTGGGAATTCTGGAACTTTTCATCCAAAAAATGTATTTTCCAAACAAAGTGAAAGAACCAAGGTCACAGAATCATTTGGACCGAAGAGGACTATTCCCATTTTCCACCAACATTGTGAAATTTGTGCTAACCCTGGGCATCAACAACCCTTTACTGTTAAGCAACTATTAAATTCTACAGAGTATTAAACAGATGTAGACTACAATGAAGTACCCTATTTACAGTACATTAATATTCCAATTTAAAATCAAGTTGAATGTACATAATTGTTAGGGCACTGACTTGTTTTAATCTTAGGGGAAATATAATTGTGTTATGATCAACAATGATTAAAAACAAAATCAGATACGTAGTTTTTGTTATCCTACCTCCTACTATCCTACCCTATCCAAACAAAATTCATTCAGATTATTTTTTTTTCCAGATGAAGAACCTGAAGCTCTCTAAATTTCCTTATTATTGAACTTTAGTACTTCTCAGCCCTATCCAGGCTAGGCGGTAGGGAGGCACTTTAAGGATAGGAGTTCATTTAGTATCCACCTTTCATCAAAGAAAACCCAGGAGATTAACAATCGATAGAAGAAGAAGAAATTGCAAAATCTATAAAGTGCAAACATCTAAATATGCAAAACAACAGGATGTATGTCCCTTTTGTTAGGGAAAACACTACCCTAAAATAAAGCAGAGCACCCAAAAACAAACAGGATACAAAAGTTGTTGTTGTTGTTCATTCATTCAGTCGTCTCCGACTCTTCGTGACCTCACGGACCAGCCCACGCCAGAGCTCCCTGTCGGCCGTCACCACCCCCAGCTCCTTCAAGGTCAGTCCAGTCACTTCAAGGATGCCATCCATCCATCTTGCCCTTGGTCGGCCCCTCTTCCTTTTACCTTCCACTTTCCCCAGCATAATTGTCTTCTCTAGGCTTTGCTGTCTCCTCATGATGTGGCCAAAGTACTTCAACTTTTTTCTAGTCTCCTTCCCTCCAGTGAGCAGTTGGGCTTTATTTCCTGGAGGATGGACTTGCAGTCCAAGGCACTCTCAGCACTTTCCTCCAACACCACAGCTCAAAAGCATCGATCTTCCTTCGCTCAGCCTTCCCTAAGGTCCAGCTCTCACATCCGTAGGTTACTACAGGGAATACCATGGCTTTGACTAGGCGGATCTTTGTTGCCAGTGTGATGTCTCTACTCTTTACTATTTTATCGAAATTGGACATCGCTCTCCTCCCAAGAAGTAATCGCCTTCTGATTTCCTGACAAAAGTTGAGCATCAGCTCAATAGCGAGCAGAGCGTGTGATGTGGCTGTAAAGAATTCAGAGCTCAGGAGGCAAACATGCAGAGTCCAATCCTCAAAACATCACAAAAGGTTTATTTACAATAATAAGAAATAACTGCATTTCTTAATAATCAAGAACTAGGTCTGAGCTACTCTAACACCCATCTCTTCTAAGGTTTCTAGAGAGGGAAATACTCAGTCACTACATCTCTCCTGACACACAAGCGGAGAGAGATCTCAAAGCACACAGTACATACTCTCCATACTAAAGTGCAAAAGGCAGAAGTCAGATTCAAAAAGCTTGCAGCAGAAAAGTATCAATTTTAAGCAACCAATCAGAATGAGAGCAGGAACAGAGAGGAGAGAAGAAATTAGATACATCCCAACTGTCATACAGGAGACATGGGGAAGAGAAACCCTTAGTTCATACCAGTGGTTCTTAACATGTGGGCTGCAAACCACTAGCGGGCCCCAAGGACGAATATCTGGTCCGCGAGCCTCCTTCCTCATTATTTATTTTATTTTATTTCCGCTCCTTTTGCGCCACCTACCACTCCTTTCCTTTCGCTGACTATAGCATATGTTCTGTATTGGAAATTAGAGCTGATGTGGTTTATCCAATGCAATTTTCTGAATCAGCACCCCAGACAAAAACTAAAGTTGACCAAAAAATGATTCGTAACCCTTCTGGTACTAATGTTGGAGAGTGGCCCCTGGTGAAAGTGGTCCCTGGTTAAATGGTCCCTGGTCAAAAAAAGGTTGGGAACCATTGGTCTACACCAGGGGTCCTCAAACTAAGACCTGGGGGCCTGATACAGCCCTCAGAGGTCATTTACTCGGCCCTCGTTCAGGGTCAATCTAAGTCTGAAATGACTTTAAAGCACACAACAACAAGAAGAACAACCCTATTTCATCAGCCAAAGGCAAGCCCACACTTCCCATTGAAATACTAATACGTTTATATTTGTTAAAATTGTTATTCATTTTTATTATTGTATTGTTTTAAGTGGTTTTTGCACTACAAAAACCACTTAACCGCTATCACAAGTGAGGCTGGTGGGGACGAGGAGCAGGGCCTTCTCAGTGGTGGCCCCCCACCTGTGGAACTCACTCCCAGGGGAAATTAGGGCATCAACATCCCTCCTCTCCTTCAGGAGGAAGGTAAAGACATGGTTGTGGGACCAGGCCTTTGGACAATCTGACATTTAGACATGGCAGCCAGATGGATAGGACCAAAAGGACTGACAATTGTGGAATTGGAATTTGACTATGAGATTGTGAAACGCTGACCGTCAACGAGATTTGTATTGGTTTTATTGCTCTTATTGGTTTTATGGTTGTTTTTGCCTATAATAATTATTGTTTCTGTTAATTCTGTTATTGCCTGAATTGTTGTTTTGTTAACTGATGTTATTGTCCTTTGTTGTTATGTGATGCGGGCATCGAATTGTGCCTTGCTTTTGTAAGCCGCCCTGAGTCCCCTCCAGGGTGAGAAGGGCGGGATAGAAGCAACCAAAATAAATAAATATGTGCAGTGTCCATAGGAATGCATTCATGTTTTCTTCAAATTATAATCCAGCCCTCCAATAGTTTGACGGACTGTGACCTGGCCCTCTGTTTAAAAAATTTGAGGACCCCTGGTCTATACTAAGCTAACTAAACCATCCCTCATTGAGGACTTCAGACTTGGGCAGTGTGGGGTTGAATTCCAATATCTTTCTGATCAGGAGAAGGGACAGTGTTCATTTGTAAGATATACCCTACTGGCAATCCCATCTTATTTTGTCCCGTTCCCTCTTCTTTCAGACTTCTGCAAACTGGAGGGCATGCGGTTGCTGGCCCATCGATACCTGGAGCACGAGGAGCAAGAGCTGCGCTGGCGGGCAGCCTACCTGGTGGGAACCTGCGCCCAGAACGTGCCCAAAGTGCAAGAGCAGGCCTTGGCACTGGGATGTATGAGGAAGTTGCTGCGGCTTTTGGACCAGGATCCCAGCGAGGCTGTCCGGATCAAGGCCCTCTTTGCCATCTCCTGTAAGTGGGAGCATGGCAAGTGAACTGGAGAGCGAGTGTCAAAAACTAAAACAGGCATGACCTGGAAGGTTTTAGATTCCTCCTCTTCTACACCAATACTTCTATCCCTTCTTTCTACAGATTATAGCACAGGCAATGGGCAAAAACAATTAAGAAAAACATGGGGGCAAGTGTGGAGGGGCAGAGAGGTACTGGTTAAACCAGGCATGGGCAAATTTCAGCCCTCCAGGTGTTTTGGACTTCAAATCCCACAATTCTTAACAGTCTATTTTTGTTTACTCCTTCTCTTCCTTTCTTTATCATTTCTTTATTTGCCAGGCTTGGTTAGAGCCCAGGAAACTGGCTTGCAGCAGTTCCTACGTCTCGATGGGTTCTCTGTCCTCATGAGGGCCATGCAGAGTAACGTGCAGAAGCTGAAGGTGAAATCTGCTTTCCTCCTACAGAACCTTCTCATAGACCACCCAGAGCAGAAAGGTGAGAATAATTTTGTGGTTGTAGCCTGGTAGACGCATCCCACTCTCTCTCATCCTAAACGCTGGACTTGTTCGGGAAAATTTTATCCTCATCACTTGCTACTTGGAGACTATTTTCATTGGAGACACTGGGAGTGAATTTGGGACCTTTTGCATATAGAACCAACATTTTGCTGGTGACCTTTGAATGGTCATATTTGCTATGCATAGAGTAGAGCAAACAATTGAGTCCCAAAATGGTGGAATGGACTTTTACGACTTCATACTGCTAAAAGGCACACAAAAGAAGTAGAAAATTATAAATAGTATGTATAGTATGAGTTCCCCTCAGGGGAGATAAAGTGGGGTATAAATAATCTATATAAATAAAAATATAATGTTCGTTTGTGGGATTAACATAACTCAAAAACCACTGGGCGAATTGACACCAAATTTGGATACAATACACCTATCAGGCCAACGAGTGACCATCACTCATAAAAACACTGAAAAACGCAACTGAAAATATTTAAAAAGCCAAGAAACAAAAAATACATTACAACACATGCACATAACCACATAAATACACATACACACACACATACACATATGTACACACACAAAACACATATACACAGACTGGGCCACAGCAACACATGACAGGGGACAGCTAGTAGTAAATAAATAAATAACAACAACAACAACAATGAGGATTTAAAGATAGAATTGTAAAAACTCTGGCACAAGCCAGTAAAGATGGTCCCTGAGGTGATTGGCACACTGGTGCAGTGCCTAAACACCTTGGCCTGCACTTAAAAAGAAATGGCACTGACAAAATTGCCATCTGTCAGCTGCAAAAGGCCACCCTACTCAGATCTGCATGCATTATTCGTTGATACATCACACAGTCCCTTGGGAAGTGTCTGACATATAATCAAATACAAAAGCCAACATAGTGTTCTTGTTTTCTGTGTACTAATCTTATGTATCAAATCTATATAAATAAAAATGTAATGTTAGTTTGTGGGATTAACATAACTCAAAACCCACTGGACGAATTGACACAAAATTTGGACACAATACACCTACCAGGCGAATGAGAGACCATCACTCATAAAAACACTGAAAAACACCGCAGAAGGGACTTAAAAGGCTAAAAAAGCAAAAATATCCTATCATGCGCAAAAACATCTCCCCCTGGCAAGCAAAACACACAATAGCATATCCACCCTCTCTTTTTGACTACAGCTCCCAGCATCCCCTAGACCAGGTCCTTTAGGAGAGGAGGATGATCCAAATGCACTGCTTCCAAGATGCAAGCTTTCTTCTCCTTGGATTTCTTTGAGAGCATCCCAATACCTGCATATTTACAATTTCCCAAAAATCCTCCATATAAATAAGATAGATAGACAGACAGATAGATAGGTTGGTAGGTAGGTAGATTGATCAGGAGGACTGCTGGGAATTGTAGTCCAAGAATAGGTAGAGAAGGAAGAAAGAGGAAAGGAAAGAAAAAGGAAAGGAAGGGAAAAGGAAGAGAAGCAAGGAAGGAGAGAATGAAAGAAAAAAGGGAGAGAAGGAAGGAGAGAAAGAAAGGAGGAGAGAAAGAGGGAAGGTTGGCCACAGCAACGTATGGCGGGTACAGGTAGTAGTAATAATAATAATAATAGGACTTCTGTTTTCTCTGTGGATTCATTTATTTAATATTTATTGAGAGAATGTGTGTGTACATGTTAAAAAAGGATACCCTCTTCTGATAGTGAAACGGATGTAATGCCTTAAGTTTCGATGATCTAATTTTCATAGAATTGTAAGAGTTGGAAGAGATCCCAAGGGCCATCTGGTCCCACCCCCTGCCACGCAGAATACACAAAGCACTCTCAGCATATGGCCATCCAACCTCTGTTTAAAAAGCCTCTAAAGAAAGAGACTCCACCACTCTCTGAATTTGCATATTCTACTGTCGAAACAGCTCTTATCCTCAGGAAATGTTTCCTAATGTTTAGGTGGAATCCCTTCCTGTAGTTTGCATCCAATGCTCAATGTCCTTGTCTCTGGAGTCACAGAGAGTAAGCATTCTCCTTCTTCAAAATGACATCTTTTCAAATATGAAAACATGGCTATTGTGTCACCTCATAACCTTCTCTTCTTTACACTGAGCTTACCCAGTTCCCTAAACCAGTCCTCAAAAGGCATGTTTTTTGGAAAATGGCATATTCAGAACCATTTGGGAAAACCAGGAATCTCCACAAACTTTTGGAAACACGATCCTTTTGGAGTTCAATTGACATTTACACTATTTGGAATAATCATAAACTCTTTTGGAAAGGCATGACCTTGTTGGAGTTCATAATCTTATGTAAAGTATGATCTTCCTGAGAAGAGTTAAAAACTCATTTGAACGAATCTCTTCTTTAGTGGTAAATATCCATTAGTAGTCGTGCAAGGCAAATTAGGTTTCTCAGTTGTTAGACTGATATGCCCGGTTATCTCTTTGAACTTTTAGGAACAAAGATTATGCCAATGCATAAAAAAAATATAGCAGAGGTTCAGAAGCATTATTTCAGTTTCCCAAAAACATGTACTCTCCCATAAAATATATTTGGTTTTAAATTATGCTCTAAAGAGACCAAAAATAAAGTAGTCTTTGTTAAAATAACATAGTTGGTTTACTCACAAACTTCATGTATTCAGCATATAGGTACTTTGCATATCAATCCAGTTACAGATAGGATTTGAGCAGATAACACAAGGCATTATTCTTATAATTACCAGTCCAAAGTCTAAAGCATCTCTCCAGTCTGAGAGTCCAATACAGTCTGTGCAGTCTGAAAGTTCAGTGGCATCTCCAAGGTATTCTGTTTCTACTGACCTCCAAAATGGAAACATAGTCTGAACAGTCGCATATCTGATCACATGGTCTGCAGTCCCTCCCACAACAAAGAGTTAAGGAAAACTGCATACCAATACACACATATACAATACAATAATCAATCTGAATTGTATACAAACATATTTGATTTACAGTATTTATATTCCGCACTTCTCACCCCGCAGGAGACTCGGGACAGATTACAATGTACATATACATGGCAAACATTCAATGCCATAGACATACAACATATATAGACAGATGCTCAGAGGCATTCCAGCTTTTCATGTGGGTATTCTGGCCACTAGGAGAGCTGTCGCTTCAACGTCCATTTGTGACACTAATGAAGTACTTTCTTATTCTTTGCATGCTTGCTGGAGATTTTTATGTCTTCGTAAATTAGTTAAATTAGCCTCTGTGCATAAGCAGTACCTAAATTTCCTACTCGACAGATGCAACTGTCTTTCGTGTTGCAAAGGTCGACAGCAAGCTACACAAATTGGTTGGAAGCTCACTCCGACCTGGGCTGGCTTCGTACCAGTGACCTTTCGGTCAGTAGTGATCTTAATGCAGCTGACTCCCAGCCAGTTGTGCCACACTGGAACATAAAACTAACCTTCAGGCTACACAAATAAAGTGTCTATAACCCATACGTTAATATCATGTTTAGATTTAGGTTCCATCTCTAAGGCAACTAACTCATTTTGCAGATGCAAGTGTAGGATGCTTGTAGAAGGTTGCTATTTCCAACAGTTTTCCAGTCCTTTTACCATTTTGGTCACTTTCCTCTGGGCATCAACCCTTGGAAAAATTGGATATCACATCCAGGACCTGTCTTGTGGCATTCTCCAGGGTTGGAAGTGTCTTTTTCTGTTACTCCTTCCCACCTACTACTAAGGAGGCTGTTCAGGTCCTGAACCGGTGCTTGGCCGCTGTGATGATCTGGATGAGGGCAAACAAATTGAAACTGAATCCAGACAAGACAGAGGAACTCCTGATCAGTTGAAAGGCCGAACAGGGCATAGGGTTACAGCCTGTGTTGAATGGGGTTACACTCCCCCTGAAGATGCAGCTTGGATGTGATCCTGGATTCATCGCTGAGCCTGGAACCCTAGGTCTCGGCGGTGGTCAGGGGAGCTTTTGCACAATTAAAACTTGTGTGCCAGCTGCGCCTGTACCTTGGGAAGTCTGACTTGGCCATGGTAGTCCACGCTCTGGTTACATCCCGCATAGATTACTGCAACGCGCTCTACGTGGGGTTGCCTTTGAAGACGGCCCGGAAGCTTCAAATGGTCCAGCGTGCAGCAGCCAGGTTGCTAACAGGAGCGGCGCTCAGGGAGCACACAACTCCTCTGCTGCATCAGCTCCACTGGCTGCCAGTTTGCTACCGGGCCCAATTCAAAGTGCTGGCTTTAGCCTATAAAGCCCTAAACGGTTCTGGCCCAGCCTACCTATCCGAACGCATCTCTTCCTACGAACCCTCCAGGAAGTTAAGATAATCTGAGGAGGCCCTGCTCTCGATCCCGTCTGCTTCGCAAGCACGCTTGGTGGGGACGAGAGACAGGGCCTTCTCTGTGGTGGCCCCTCGGCTGTGGAACTCCCTGCCTAGGGATATTAGATCAGCCCCCTCCCTCCTGACCTTTCGTAAGAGAGTGAAAACCTGGCTCTTCAAGCAGGCATTCGGAACCCCGGAATAGTCAAGCTTGAGATGGAGAATGACCCAGGAACGGCCAAGACGATGAAACGGATGAGGATTGGAATGAGAGGATATAGCTCTTTTTAAATTGTTATTGCACTGTCTTTTTTGTCTAAATGCACTTAATTGTTTTTGCTTTTGTATTGTATTGATGGCATCGAATTGTGCTGATATGTAGACCGTCCTGAGTCGCCTGCGGGCTGATATGGGCGGGATATAAGTGATGTAAATAAATAAATAAAATAAATAGCCTGATATAGGTCATTGGATGTTCACAGATGTGCACCAGCATTTCCACTCGTAGTCATTTGTTTCTTTTAGCTTTACTTGAAGGTTTGCATTTCCAAACTTTTTCTTCCCCCCAGAGGTTCTCTGTTCCATGGGAATGGTCCAGCAGTTGGTGGCCCTGATCCGTTCTGAACACAGCACCTTCCATGAATACGTCTTGGGAGCATTGTGCAGGTATTGATGGGAACAGGAAATGGAAAATGAGAGTTGAGATCGAAAGGGTTGTTACCATGGTGAAGGAAGAAGGAAGGGTTTTATTTTGATGTATTTAAAGGGCTTATTTATTGCCTTGCAGCCCATGAGGGATCCTGAGGCAATGCACTGGAAATAAAAGCATTTAAATCAGTATAGAGATAAAGAATACTTAGTTTTTCTGAGTACCAGAATACAGCAACGCAGATTGTTAATATAATAAGCATGGACTAGGACACTAATTCACACTTAGGTATAAATCTCAGCCTGGGCATAGCCTTGACAGTCTAAGCCAGTGGTTCTCAGCCTTCCTAATGCCACGACCCTTTAATACAGTTCCTCATGTTGTGACCCCCAACAATAAAATTATTTTTGTTGCTAATTCACAACTGCCATTTTGCTACTGTTATGAATTGTAATGTAAATATCTGATATGCAGGACCTGGACCCAAATTGGTGGAGTTGGGGAGGGGGGATGATTTTGTCATTTGGGAGTTGTAGTTGCTGGGATTTATAGTTAACCTACCGTCAAAGAGCATTCTGAACTTTCCCAACAATGGAATTGAACCAAACTTGCCACACACAATTTCCATGACCAACAGAAAATACTGAAAGGGTTTGGTGGGCATTGACCTTGAGTTTTGGAGTTGTAGTTCACCTACATCCAGAGAGCACTGTAGACTCAAACAATGATGGCTCTGGACAAAACATGGTACTCAATATGGCCAAATGTGGAGTTTGGGGAAAATAGACCTTGACATTTGGGATTTGTAGTTGCTGGGATTTATAGTTCAGCAAAAATCAAAGAGCATTGAGAACTCCACCAGTGACAAAATTGGGCCAGACTTCCCACACAGAACCCCCATGACCAACAGATAATACTGTGTTCTCTGATTGTCTTTGGTGATCCTTCTGACACCCCCCCTTGCGACCCCCCCAAGGGGTCCCGACCCCCAGGTTAAGAAACTCTGGTCTAGGCTGTCAAATTGGGGTAAGTTCCTTCTGGATCTTGGAAGAGTTCATTTTCTACACTTCAGATCAAAATACTTTAGAAGTGACCATTCTGACTATTTTGTGGAGGTCCCAAAAGAGCCAGCCTGCTGCAGTAGTTGGACTAAAGCTATTGCCCTGAAAAAAGATCTTAGGATCCAATCACCTTAGGCCAGTGTTTCTCAACCTGGGGGTCGGGACCCCTGGGGGGGGGTCACGAGGGGGTGTCAGAGGGGTTGCCAAAGGCCATCAGAAAACACAGTACTTTCTGTTGGTCATGACGGTTCTGTGTGGGAAGTTTGGTTCAATTCCATCGGTCCAGAATGTCCAGAATGCTCTTTGATTGTAGGTGAACTATAAATCCCAGCAACTACAACGCCCAAATGTCAAGGTCTATTTTCCCTAAACTCCACCAGTGTTCACATTTGTACATATTGAGTATTTGTGCCAGGTTTGCTCCAGATCCAGATCATTGTTTTAGTCCACAGTGCCCTCTGGATGTAGGTGAACTACAACTCCAAAACTCAAGGTCAATGCCTACCAATCCCTTCCAGTATTTTCTGTTGGTTATGGGAATTCAATGTGACAAGTTTGGTTCAATTCCATTGTTAGTGGAGTCCAGAATGCTCTTTGATTGTAGGTGAACTATAAATCCCAGCACCTACAACTCCCAAATGACAAAATCAATTCCCCCACCAACCCCATCAGCATTCAAATTTGGGCATATTGGGTATTAGTGCCAAATTTGGTCCAGTGAATAAAAATACATCTTGCATATCAGATATTTACATTACTATATATAACAATAGCAAAATTACAGTTGTGAAGTAGCAACAAAAATAATTTTATGGTTGGGGCTCACCACAACATGAGGAACTGTATTAAGGGGTCACGGCATTAGGAAGGTTGAAAACCACTGCCTTCGGCCATTATCTAGAAACTTGAAAACACACAGCAATAACAATGAACAGTCCAGAAAGTATATATTTCTCTCCAAGATCGGCTAGCAGGAAGTGCTGATGACTATGCAATCAAAAAGCAGCCATGGACATGCTAGTATCTTGGGGGTACTTGGGGGTGTAGGAGTGGCATGGAGGGAACTTGCTACTCAGCAAACAACAGCATCCTAAGGGTTGAGTATGCTGAGTAGTGATGGAATGTTGATTGTGTATTGACAAGGAAAGGCGTGTGGTAATTGAGATTTAACTGAGCATCTTGTAGAGGGAAGGTACGGCTGATAAGTTATCAGGAAACCTGAGCAAGATTAGCCACCTTCTAATATTGGATGATTCATGGAAAACTTCATACATCTCTCATTTGTCCATTTTTGCTGCTTCCATCTTTTCCAATGTGTCATCTTTTTCCCACACTCCATCCAGTCTCGTGACAGATTTTCCTCAAGGTGTGCGAGAGTGCCAAGAACCAGAGCTATCACTTGAGGAACTATTAAAAGAGCGGTGCCAGCTACTCAAGGGTCAGGAGGAATTCCAGGTAGGCTAACCCAGGAATTTTTCCTTCCCCCCGTCTTCCCCATATACTTGTCCTGAGGGCCTAGCATGCTCTCTGAACCATCACTGCATTTTTCAGATTAAGAAGTTCAAGCTCTATAATTAGAATAAATTGTTTCCTGTAATTTTCCAGTTTCTTAAGTATACCTACCGTATATAATTGAGTATAAGCTAACCTGAATATAAGCCAAGGCACCTAATTTTACCACACAAAACTGAGAAAACATATTGACTCCAGTATAAGCTGAGGATGGGAAATGCAGCAGCTACTGGTAAATTTCAAAATAAAAATAGATACCAATAAAATTAAATTAATTGAGGCATCACTAGGTTAAATGTTTTTGAATATTTACATAAAACTGAAATTTAAGATAAAACTGTTCAGCTCGGATTAAACCATTCTAACCTTCTTTAATGTGTGCTTATGTAGCCTTCCAATAATAATAGAGTAAAATAATAAATTAATAATAATAGTAGAGTAAAATAATGGAAATGTAATAATAACAGTAATAAAAGAGTAAAACAATAAATGGAATAATAATAGAGTAAAATAATAAATATAATAACAACAATAATAAAGTACGATATGAGGATTTAAAGATTGAACTGGAAACTCTGGCACAAGCCAGTCAAGGTGGTTGCAGTGGTGATCAGCACACTGGGTGCAGTGCCTAAAGACCTTGGCCTGCACTTAAACACAATTGGTGCTGACAAAATTACCATCTGTCAGCTACAAAAGGCCACCTTATTAGGATCTGCACACATTATTCACTGATGCATCACACAGTCTTAGACACTTGGGAAGTGTCCAACGTGTGATCCAATACAACAGCCAACGGAGTGTCTGCTGTGGACTCATCATGTTGTGTTAATAATAATAATAATAATAATAATAATAATAATAATAATAATAATAAGGTAAAACAATAAATGTAATAACAACAACAACAGAGTAAAATAATAACTAACTAACTTGAGTATAAGCTGAAGGGGACTTTTTCAGCCTAAAAAAGAGCTGAAAACTGGACTTACACTCAAGTATTTACGGTAGTTAATAGCTACTCTTATATTAACATACTACAGGAATTTCTTGAAGGGATATAGCTGACCTTTTGAGCAACTACTATAAATAATAAAGTTATAATTATAATAATAATATAGTAAAATAATAAATGTAATGATAATAATAGAGTAAAATAATAAATGTAATAAAATAATGTACGTAATAATAATAATAATAATAATAATAATAATAATAATAATAGAGTAAAATAATAAATGTAATAAAAATAATAACAGAGTAAAATAATAAATAAACTTGGCTTGAGTATAAGCAAAGGGGGATTTTTTTCAGCATAAAGAAAGGGCTGAAAAACTCAGCTTTTACTTGAGTATATACCGTATGTTTTATTAAAGACATGTGGGTGGTGATCAGGCATAGCAAGGCATGTGTGGAGACATCTTCAAATTTTTCTTAACAATTTAGAGTTGGAAACATTTTAAATAAAAAAAAATAGAATACTGAAGAAGACAAAAACCCAGGAAAACAGATTCAAAAAGCCATATTCCATTCCAACCTGCAAAATTGAAATGCCAAACACTACCCAGATTTGGGTAAGTGGAGAGCTTGTTTTACATCTGTATGTCCTTTTTGTGACACTAGGAGGAGCTAGGCCTCTTTGTCAACTTTTCAAAAGTCCCGTATACAGTGTGGTGGCTCTCCAGGATGAGTGATTCCCATTTAAGTACATATTGTCGGCAGCACTTCACCTATTTTAATAACAATGCAAGACAGAAACAGCTTAAGAGGTGTTTTTGTCTTCCTCTGGTTAGACTTCCAAGAATCCAACCCTCACTCTTGTTGACAGTGTGTCTCTTACCAATTCTCACCCCTCCAGAAACGAAATGTAATTTAGACAATCCTGGTTGTGAATGTAGAATTAAGCTCCTCATGAAAATCCCTCCCCTTATGTCAAAAGGGGAAAATCCCTTGAGTTGTTTTCATTCTCCTGCCTGGGCAGCAGCCAATGGGTTTGCTCTGTGCCATTGGTGGGTACTGAATGTTTGAGTAGCCCCCTTTCCCCAAAGATGGAAGTAAGTGACTGGCAACAAAACGTTTCAAGTTTTGGAATATTTCAGATATCAGATCTCCAGGTAAGGCAGGCTCAACCTGTATTTTGATCCCCCAGCTTTTGGAAGATTATGTTAAATGTAAGCATTTCCTACTCTTTTAATTTATTTTCCCACTGCAAGACTTATGGGGCCTTTGATTACAAAAATGCTAAGAAAAGAGGAACATATTTTGGCATCCATTGAAAATCTTGTTCAGTGGGGATGTCACATCGATATTAGGTTGTGCATGTGAGGCTCCAGGCCTATGTAGTCCCTCGGGTGCATGCCTATTGCTAAAGCAAGGAGCAAACCAATCCTTCCAAGTGCAGGAGATTTGAGCTCGCTTCCTCATTTCACTCCTGAGGTCATTTCTGCTTGCAGATGCTGCTATCAGGCTTGGTGTGAGGGAAGGCGAATGGGAGGCAGGGGGCTCGTTGCTTCTGTTGTGTTTTCTTTGTCTCTTCTTGCATTTACTCAGACACATTCCCACCCCTGCTGTTAGCAACCGATAGTTTTCTCTGAACATAGCAATTAGGTTATGCCAAGCTTGATAATTAAACAATTGCCGTAATGGAGTAAGAGGATTTGAAATGGTTTCCTCTTTCCCCCTCACCCTAACTCCCTGTTTTGCTTTGTAAAGTCACTGTGTTGGGGCTTCTTTGAAATTTGGGACCATGTTCTTATTTAAACAGTCATTTGATCATTCTAGGGTCATGGGGACTCTTTTTATGCTGTGCATGTGTATCTTTAACATTATTTTAAAATGATCTGACACCTTTTAAATTTTATCATACCTCATTTATTGCATTTTAACTTTAAAAATATTTATATTTTTGTAAGGTGCCATGGGTCCCATGTTGTAGGAACCCCAGGTAGCGCAATGGGTTAAACCCTTCTGCTGGCAGGACTGCTGACCGATAGGTTTAAATCTGAGGAGAGCGGGGAGAGCTCTCTCTGTCAGCTCAAGTTCCTCATGCGGGGACATGAGGGAAGCCTCCCACAAGGAGGGTAAAACATCAAAACATCCGGGAGTCCCCTGGGCAACATCCTTACAGATGGCCAGTTCTCTCACATTCAAAGTGACTGTAAGAAAGATGAGATTAAAATAAAACAGATTTATAGCTGCCCTCCCTCACTGCCTTCCAGTCTGAGAGGACTGCCTTGAAAGAATAGTGGCTGTACACTTTATTATTATTTTTTTAGTGGCCTGTGCGCCTGTGGATTTATTTTGCCACCCATGTCAGTGTATGTCAATTATAGTATTGTCACAGCATGTTAAACTGCTGAGCTGCTGAACTTGTTCAAACCCGGGTAGCAAGGTGAGCTCCTGCTGTTAGCCTAGCAGTTTGAAAACATGCAAATGTGAGATCAATAGGTACTGCTTCTGCAGAAAGGTAATGGCGCTCTATGCAGTCATGCCAATCACATGATCTTGGAGGTGTCTATGGACAACACTGACTCTTCATCTTAGAAATGGAGATGAGTACCATACTCAGAGTTGGACATGACTAGACTTAATGTCAGGGGAAACCTTTACCTTTACCTTTTACACATTTGCATTAGATTTTGCTGACTATCCATGGAGACTGCAGTGCTATGTAACAAATATATGTGGGTCACACCCTTCATTGCAGGAATTTGCAAGCTTTTGAGCCAATACAGAACTTTTCATTAGGCAGAATTGGGAAAAAAGTCAGTAGCACAGAGACCAAAGATTGTTGTTAGGCAAATCTTGCAGGTTTCTTCCCTTGAATTCACTATAGAGTCTTAGGTCATCATGTTCCAAAAAGAAACAGAATTTGCCAGACCTTCCTTTGTGATTCCATCTCCTTTTTATTTATTTTTTTTAATAGGAGGAACTGGACTTCTGCGAGACTTTGCTGCGCCTTTGCTTCTGCAGTCAACCTGATGAAAGCAGCATGGACCGGTAACTTGGCTTCCCTCGCTCCCACTCAGTGCTGTGGAAGTTCAGGCTTTTGCACTTGGAGCTGTGACAGTTGGAGCCACTCGATGGAAAACGCCCGTGTTTATCCTTCATTCAGCAACAGGCTGGAGTCACAGGAGACCTGTCTCTGGAATAAAATACTGAGCCCGTTGGCCTCATGATCAGCAGGAAGACACTTTCATAACCTGTTGCTATGTAATTTCCTCTTCCCTGGGCTCTGGAAGCTAATGCGCCCTGGCCCCATCCAGGCTTCACTGTGCTAGCCTGCCTTCTAAGTAGCCAAAGAGCCAACGTTTGTAATTAGCAGTCAAGATCTGTGTTTAAACTGGGAAATTAGTCCTGTTTCTTATCGTAGCACTGCTTTTTCTCCATAGAGAGACTTAACAGGGGATGGTTGTTGAGGAGAATGGGGTGCTGGTGGAATTGAGTGCCTTTTAATTTCTTTCTTGAATTCGTATTACGAATGTGGGTGGCTAAACCATTATCTCTTTAGATGCAGGATTGTCATGGGTGGGGGCCAGGTGCTCTACAGACAATAGTATACTGGATTGCTTAACTGGGAGCATCTATTCAAACGGGCAGGGACAGTTTTTGGGAAAGGTGTCTATTTAGAGTATAAAGCGACTCTCCCACTGGATAAAGGCATATACCTATGCTTATTACAAAAATATGTCTCAAGTGGGATAAATGGGGGAAAGTCTGTGAAACAAGAAATTGAGAAAGAGCGTAGGACACTTGTACCTCCAAAGAAAATACCTTTTTGCTTCTTAAAGATCTGATGAAAGCCCTTTCTTCTCTCTAACCATTAAGAGCCCTTCCACATAGCCTTATATCCCAGAATACCAAGGCAGGAAATCCCACAATATCCACTTTGAACTGGGTTATCTGAGTCCACCCTCCAATAATGTGGGATTTTCCGCCTTGATATTCTGGGATATAGGGCTGTGTGGAAGGGCCCTAAGAAACACAGTGGGCCTGTCTTTGGGCAGTTGATCACCCATCTAATTGGAGTGATAGGTGTTTCTTTATGATTTGTGGCAACTGGGTATACTCCGACTGCTTGAATTTCCCATCACTGTCATTTGCTGTTGCCATGTTCTCTGCATATGTTTTATTTTAGTTCTTTTAAAGAATGAATTTATGTTTTGGGTGAAAAGTCTGGCACATCTTTGTTTTTCCCACCAGCAGATTTTTGTTTTTACAAAACTGACATTACTCTCACCTTGACCAGTAGAACAAAACATAACAAAAGAGGTATGTACTGAAACCACCTCCCTGAGAAATATATTCAATCTAAGGCAGGCATGGGCAAACTTTGGCCCTCCTGGTGTTTTGGACTTTAAGTCCAAAACACCGGGAGGGCCAAAGTTTGCCCATGCCTGATCTAAGGCATCACCCACATCGCTTTATTGCCTCTTCCCGGTTGTGATAGGTAAAAAGAGCTGACGTAATGTAGTGGTTTGAGAGTTGCACTATGACTCTGAAGACCAGAGTTCGAATCCTTGCCCAGCTATTGAAAACCACTGGGTAACCTTGGGCAAGTGACATGCTCTCAGCCTCAGAGGATGGCAAAAAACCGCTCTGAACAAATTGTGTCAAGAAAACCCCACAATAGGTTCACATAAGTTGGAAGCAAATTGGAGGCACACAGAATGGTAACTGAAGTGTTGGAAAGGTGATGAGAATCTCTTTTATTAAACGTAGGATGGGCCATCATCATTTCCAGAAGGACTTTCAGCATAATAAATTTTGGCCCTTCACCATTTCTCTAATGACTTTAAACATAACAGATTTTATACGTGCTAGATCCTGGACCATGTAAAAGTCCAGAGGAGAAGAGCAACTAGAAAAGAGGAGAAAAGAGGAGAAGAGCAACTAGAAGCCAAAGGGTGTGTCTAGTAGATTCCTTTCATTAGAAAGGGTAGGCAATGCACTCTCTTATTACGAAACTTTCCTTTTCAAATTAGGTTTGATATACAGCTGGGGTAGGCACTGCTGTTGTTTCTGTCCCAGAAATGCCATCCTCCCTAAATTGTGTAGAACCTGTTGGGTGATTTATTCTCAATCCAGACGAACAAATATGAGCTATTTATTTATAATTATCCGCCTTCTACCTCCCTGCCCAAGGACTCAAGTTGGTTTGGCCTTTTATACTGGTTTATGATCTATTATATTTTATGGATTCGGGGTCCTTCTACACAGCCGTATAACCCAGAGTATCAAGCCAAATAATTCACAACTGGGATACCTGAGGGCTCCTCCACACCCCCTATATCCCAGTATCTGATCCCACTGCCAGATAATCTGGAATGAACAGAAAACCTGGGATCAGATCCTAGGATATAGGACCTGTCTGGAAGGGCCCTGAGTCACACTGCATATAACCCAATTCAAAAGCAGATGTGGGATTTTATTCAGCGGTGTGGAAGGGGCCTAAAATAACCCAGGACCCTTCCATGCAGCAATCCGGAGTATCTAGGCAGAATAACCCACAATATCTGTTTTGAACTGGAATATCTGAGTCCACACTGCCATATATCCCAGTTCAAAACAGATATTGTGGGTAATCTGCCTTTATATTCTGGGTTATATGGCAGAAGGGGCCTAATTTTCATTGAAGCCACATTAGCCTTATGGTGAATCCATTGACAAAGAATCTGCACAGAAGGCCATCTATCTATTTATCTAACTACCTATCTATTACATATAGCCTAAGGGCCTCATCACACTAAAGAAAAAATCCGCTTAAAATCCGGTTTCTGCCTCCTGCAGAATTCCAGGGTTTGTAGTTTAGGGAGGTGCCTCATCAACTCTCAACCAATTCAACATAGTTGGTATTTATTTATCGTGTCAGGGGCAACCAGACTATTGTATTACATTTTTAATAGAACAAAACAAGCAAACAGGTTAAAAAAAACCCACAAAGTTTGCAAACTTGGTAGTTGATTAAATGTCCTTTCACCAGGTTGCAACAGTAAGAACAGACTACAGAACAACTGACGGTTTCAATATTGGGAAAGGACTATGGCAGGGCTGTATACTCTCACCCAACCTATTCAACTTGTATGCAGAACGCATCATGCGATATGCGGGGCTTGACAATTCCAAGGATGGAAGTTAAAATTGCTGGGTGAATATTAACAACCTTAGATATGCAGATGATACCACTTAAATGGCTGAAAGCGAGGAGAAGCCGAACTCCTCCTCGCTTTCTAATCAAGGTGAAAGAATAAAGTGCAAAAGCTGGGTTGCAGTTAAACATAAAATAACCCAAGATGATGGCAATTAGATTGATTTGACAACTGTAAAACAGGGAGAAAATGTGGAGACAGTGGCAGACTATATTTCTAGGTGAAAAGATTACTGCAGACGCAGTAATCGGAAGACTTTTTCTTCTTGGGAGGAGAGCAATGACCAATCTCGATAAAATAGTGAAGAGTAGAGACATCACACTGGCAACGAAGATGTGCATAGCTAAAGCAATGATATTCCATGTAGTAACCTATGGATGTGAGAGCTGGACCATAGGGAAGGCTGAGCGAAGGACAATAGAGGCTTTTGAACTGTGGTGCTGGAGGAAAGTTCTGAGAGTGCCTTGGACCACGAGAAGATCCAACCAGTCCATCCTCCAGGAAATAAAGCCAGGCTGCTCACTGGAGGGAAGGATATTAGAGGCAAAGATGAAGTACTTTGGCCACATAATGAGAAGACAAGAAAGCTTGGAGAAGATAATGATGCTGGGGAAAATGAGAGGAAAAAGGATGACAGGCCACCAAGGGTAAGATGGATGGATGGTATCCTTGAAGTGACTGGCTTGACTTTGAAGGAACTGGGGGTGGCCACAGCCAACAGGGAGCTTTGGTATGGGCTGGGAGGAGACATGATTGTTGTTCATTCGTTCAGTCGTTTCTGACTCTTTGTGACCTCATGGACCAGCCCACGCCACAGCTCTCTGTCGGACGTCACCACCCCCAAATCCTTCAAGGTCAATCCAGGCTCTTCAAGGATGCCATCTATCCATCTTGCCATTGGTCTGTCACTGTCACGTTTTCTCCCTCTATTTCCCAGTTGTTAATCATTCTTGTTGCCATAATCTTGGTTTGTTTTATGTTTAGCTGTAACCCAGCTTTTGCGTTTTCTTCTTTCACCTTGATTAGAAGGCTCCTCAGCTCCTTCTCGCTTTCGACCATCAAAGTGGTGTCATCTGCATATCTAAGGTTGTTAATGTTTCTTCCAGCAATTTTAACCCTAGTCTTGCATTCGTTAAGCCCCGCACATCGCATGATGTGTTCTGCATACAAGTTGAATAGGTTGGGGGAGAGTATACAACCCTACCGTATGCCTTTCCCAATCTTGAACCAGTCTGTTGTTCCATGGTCAGTTCTTATTGTTGCTACTTAGTCCTTATACATAATAGCCTAGTATAAATATGTGAGAGGAAGTCATAGGGAGGAGGGAGCAAACTTGTTTTCTGCTGCCCTGGAGATTAGGAGGTGGAACAATGGCTTCAAACTACCGAAAAGAAAGGAGATTCCACCTGAACATTAGGAAGAACTTCCTAACTGTGAGAGCTGTTCAGAAATGGAACTGTCTGCCCCAGAGTGTGGTGGAGGCTCCTTCTTGGGAGGCTTTTAAGCAGAGGCTAGATGGCCATCTGTCGGGGTGTTTTGAATGTGATTTTCCTGCTTCTTGGCAAGGGGTTGGACTGGATGGCCCACGAGGTCTCTTCCAACTCTATGATTCTATGATTATGAAGTCATGAAGAGCCAGAAATTATTGAACGAATAAACAACAATGGCTGTGTGGAAGGGCTCACATTTAAACAGGCAATTAGACTTTGAGACTATCTTGAGTGATTTGAATGACAACTTTTCTAAATGGGAAACCAAGAGGAGTGACATTGGATTTTAAGGGATTTTGTGACTGATAAAGGCTACAGAGCTATAAGATCACACTGTTACAGCGCTATTTTTCTACATTATCTGCAGGATAACGGATAGTTCCCTCCTACTGAATTCAACCTGCTTTGAATCCAGGGAAAGTACGCAAGCAAGCGCTCAAAATCCACCTAAAAATGAGCTAGGCCAAGAAGATAGGCCTAGCGCATGCGCAACAGATTTCCCTAGTCCCTCCATCGGCGGGAAGGAAAGACGAGAAGGAATTCGACGCATGCGCAGATGCTCTCCCTAGTCTTTACTTCAATTCCCAGAATTCCTAAAATTTGGTCCTGCTGGCTGGTGGTACTCTTGGAAACTGGAGTTCAATGTCCTGTAGAACCACTGGCCTTTGGGGGAAAAGGAGGAGGAGGATGAACCAAGGAGAAGCCAAGCGAGAATTCTGAAAATGGAGAGAGGGAGCCCGACGCATGCGCAACTAATTCCCCTAAGTCAGAGGGAGGCTGATTCCCGTCGGACTCCCATTCCTAAGCCTCCCTCATTCCTGACTTAGAGGAATTCGTTGCGCATGCGCCGGACTTCCATTCCTCTACCAGGAGTCCGACGCATGCGCAACTAATTCCCTAAATCAGAAATGAGGCTGAGGAAAGGGAGTCTGACGCATACGCAGCTAATTCCCCTAAGTCAGGAATGAGGGAGACTGAGGAAAGGGAGTCTGACGCATGCGCAGCTAATTCCCCTAAGTCAGGATATATTTTTTTGTCGTGTCAGGAGCGACCTGAGAAACTGCAAGTCGCTTCTGGTGTGAGAGAATTGGCCGTCCGCAAGGACGTTGCCCTGGGAACGCCCGGATGATTTGATGTTTTTATCATCCTTGTGGGGAGGCTTCTCTCATGTCCCCGCACGAGGAGCTGGAGCTGATAGAGAGAGCTCATCCGCCTCTCCCCGGATTCGAACCTGCGACCTGTCAGTCTTCAGTCCTGCCGGCACAGGGGTTTAACCCACTGCGCCACCGGGGGCTCCGACGCATGCGCAGCTAATTCCCCCAAATCAGAAATGAGGCTGAGGAAAGGGAGTCCGACGCATGCGCAGCTAATTCCCCGAAGTCAGGAATGTGGGAGGATGAGGAAAGGGAATTTGACGCATGCGCAGCTAATTCCTCGAAGTCAGGAAGGAGGGAGGCTGAGGAATGGGAGTCTGACGCATGCGCAGCTAATTCCCCTAAATCAGGAATGAGGGAGGCTGAGGAAAGGAAGTCCGACGCATGCGCTGCTAATTCCCCTAAATCAGGAATAAGGGATGCTGAAGAAAGGGAGTCTCACGCATGCGCAGTTAATTCCCCTAAGTCGGGAATGAGGGAGGCTGAGGAAAGGGAGTCCGACACATGCGCAGCTAATTCCCCTCAATGAGGAATGAGGGATGCTGAGGAAAGGGAGTCTGACGCATGCGCAGCTAATTCCCCTGTCAGGAATGAGGGAGGCTGAGGAAAGGGAGTCTGACGCATGCGCAGCTATTTCCCCTAAATCAGGAATGAGGGAGGCTGAGGAAAGGGAGTCCGGCGCATGCGCAGCTATTTCCCCTAAATCAGGAATGAGGGAGGCTGAAGAAAGGGAGTCCGACGCATGCGCAACTGGTCTCCCTCTTCTCTTAGGGAGTCATATGTCCAAAACAGATTGTTAGGAATTGTGACAGTTGAAGTCCGAAACACCAGGAGGGCCGAGGTTTGCCCATGCCTGGTCTAGGGTAACTCCCAGGTATTTTGGCGGGTGGGCTTAAATACAGAAAATGGAAGGTGACGGGAGTGAGCCCGCGCATGCGCAACTCATCCCCGTTCGTCCCTCAATCGGCGGGGGTGAGGGAATCCGAATGACGCATGCGCAGTTTGCGCTTCCTACTCTTTTTACTACATTTCCCAGATATCCCAACCCTTTGCCTCAGCGCTTTGGTCTTCTGGGAGTTGAAGTCTTAAAGGTTGGGAGCCAATCGCATTGGAGAAAGGGGGAGGAGGAGGGGGCGGGGCCAAGCCTGAGGGGAAAGAAGCGCGAAGAGGAGGAGGAGGAGGAGGAGGAGGAAACGGCGAGTCGGCCGCTGGGAGGCGCGCGCGCGCGGGGGATTGTGGGATCGCGGCGGTGAAGGGAGGAAAAAAAAAGTGGAGCGCGAGCCAGCGAAAGAGCCGCCCCCCTCCCTCCCTCCTTCTTCCTTCCTTCCTTCCTTCGCAAGAGAAGAAGAAGAAGAAGAAGACTGGGGCAGGACGAAGGGGGCTCGAGCCCGGTGAGAGAGAGAGAGAGAGAGAAAGGGGGAAAGGGGTTGGCGGTGGAGGGGAGGGGAAGGGGGGAAGGAGAGAGAGGGAGGGAAGGCCTGCGCCTCTCAGGGACTGAGGGGAGCTGTGTGTGTGTGACAAGGAAGGAAGCTGCCGCCATTTTGGAGCTCCCTCTGGGAGACCCTCCCCCGGAATAGCGCCCCCTCCCCCACAGGCGTGATCTTTACCCTTTCCTTCCTTCCTTCCTCCTCATCCTTCCTGTCCAGGCCCTGCTCTTTGGCCTGTGGGTAGCCCTTCCTTCTTCCATGCCTTCATTCTTTATATAAGGACAAGATAGGCATTGTAGCTTTGCTCTGAAGTTAAATTTGGATGCAAGTCGGAACAGGTACCTTTTAAAAATGTCACTCCTGCCAAATCTATAATAATAATAGTAATAATAATAATAATGATAACTGAGTGCCGTGTCAAAAGATCTCAGCCGGCATTTGGAAACAGTAAACATTGACAAAATCACGATCTGTCAATTGCAAAAGGCCACCTTACTTGAATCTAATATATAATAATAATAACTGGTTGCCGTGCCAAAAGATCTCAGCCGGCATTTGGAAACAATAAACATTGACAAAATCACGATCTGTCAATTACAAAAGGCCACCTTACTTGGATCTAATATATAATAATATTAATATTAATAACCAAGTGCCGTGCCAAAAGATCTCAGCCGGCATTTGGAAACAATTAACATTGATAAAATCACGATCTGTCAATTGCAAAAGGCCACCTTACTTGAATCTAATATATAATAATAATAACTGGTTGCCGTGCCAAAAGATCTCAGCCGGCATTTGGAAACAATAAACATTGACAAAATCACGATCTGTCAATTGCAAAAGGCCACCTTACTTGGATCTAATATATTATTATTATAATTATTATTTTGTACCCCACTAGCATCTCCCGGAGGACTCGATGCGGCTTACACAGGCCGAGGCCTCAACACACAAACATAACAATACAATCTAAGCAAATCAAACAATTAAAAACAGAATAAAGAAAAATGAACAACAAGCAATAAACAATACACTAAAACACAATAAAACTGGGCCGGGCTGGAGTAATGGGTACAAGAATTAAAAGTGCTGATGTGACAGGAGGTGTATTGCAAAAGGCCACCTTACTTGGATCTAATATATAATAATAATAATAATAGCTGGGTGCCGTGCCAAAAGATCTCAGCCGACATTTGGAAACAATAAACGTTGACAAAATCACGATCTGTCAATTGCAAAAGGCCACCTTACTTGGATCTAATATATAATAATAGTAATAATAATAACTGGGTGCCGTGCCAAAAGATCTCAGCCGGCATTTGGAAACAATAAACATTGACAAAATCACAATCTGTCAACTGCAAAAGGCCACTTTACTTGGATCTGCACGCATCATTCAAAAATACATCACACAGTCCACTGAGTGCCGTGCCAAAAGATCTCAGCCGGCATTTGGAAACAATAAACATTGACAAAATCACAATCTGTCAATTGCAAAAGGCCACCTTACTTGGATCTAATATATAATAATAATAATAATAGCTGGGTGCCGTGCCAAAAGATCTCAGCCGACATTTGGAAACAATAAACGTTGACAAAATCACGATCTGTCAATTGCAAAAGGCCACCTTACTTGGATCTAATATATAATAATAGTAATAATAATAACTGGGTGCCGTGCCAAAAGATCTCAGCCGGCATTTGGAAACAATAAACATTGACAAAATCACAATCTGTCAATTGCAAAAGGCCTCTACTTGGATCTAATATATAATAATAATAATAACTGGGTGTCGTGCCAAAAGATCTCAACCAGCATTTGGAAACAATAAACATTGACAAAATCACGATCTGTCAATTGCAAAAGGCCACCTTACTTGGATCTGCACGCATCATTCGAAAATACATAATAATAATAATAATAATAATAATAATAATAATAAAACTTTGTTTATATACTGCTCTATCTTCCCGAGGGGACTCAGAGCGGTTCCCAGGTAACATCACAAAGCATACAAAGTAAAACGACATAACCATAAGATTAACAAAACAATATAAGCATAAAAACATCACACAGTCCTAGACACTTGGGAAGTGTTCAACTTGTGATTTTGTGATATGAAATCCAGCATATAGATCTCGTTTACTGTGACATACAGTGATGTCAGTAAAATATTTTCTAATAATATTTTCTAATAATAATAATAGAAAACTGGAAAAAGCTGACCTGATATGAGGATTTAAAGATCGAACTGCAAAGAATCTGGCACAAGGTGGTCCCAGTGGTGATCGGCACACTGGGTGCAGTGCCTAAAGACCTTCACCTGCACTTAAACACAATCGGCGCTGACAAAATTACCATCTGTCAGCTACAAAAGGCCACCTTACTGGGATCTGCATGCATTATTCACCGATACATCACACAGTCCTAGAGACTTGGGAAGTGTCCAACATGTGATCCAATACAATGGCCAGCAGATGTCTGCTGTGGACTCATCATGTTGTGTTACAAATAATAATAATAATAATAATAATAAGGTAAAACAATAAATGTAATAATAATAATAACAACAACAGAGTAAAATAATAAATAACTGACTTGAGTATAAGTCGCCGATACATCACACAGTCCTAGACACTTGGGAAGTGTCTGACGTGTGATCCAATACAACAGCCAGCAGAGTGATCTTGTTTGCTGTGGACTCGTCTTGTTGTGTTTCAAATAATAATAATAATAATAATTAATGTTTGTGGCAAAAGTATGATAGCTGGGACCCAATGCCGAGACAGCGCAGCAAGTGAGAGATGCAGGTACGACAGTCGTGGCAACATAGTTCACCAGAAAAGGGGGGGGGGGTCAGTAAACAGCCAAGCATAGTGCTTAAGGCTATATAGATATCGTATGCAAACACGTTCAAATGCTTAACATCTTCGCTTCTCTAAGTCTGACCTGCGTCGCGCAAACAGCATTGGGTCCCAGCTATCATACTTTTGCCGTGTTTGTTTATATCCCGCTTTTTCTCACCATGCAGAGACTCAAAGCGGCTCACAATACAACTTCAAATATATAAATAGTAAAACAGTATTAAACATTGTGTTGTCAAAGGCTTTCGTGGCAAGAATCATTGGGTTGCTGTGAGTTTGAGAAGCCCTATACGCTTCGGGTTCAACCTATCTTTGTGACAGCATCTCTTTCTATGAACCAGCACTGGCTCTGAGATTGACATGGGAGGACCTTCTCTTGGTCTCACCTTCATCTCAAGCATGGTTAGTGGGGATAAGAGAGAGGGCCTTCCCTGTGGTGGCCCCCTGGCTCTGGAATACCCTCCCAAAAGAGATTAGATTAGCCCTCCTCTTCAGTCCTTCCATTCCAGCCTGAACAGGCCCATATGAAGCTGACACATGGCACCTTGTGAATTGACACAATTTCCCATATGAATATGATGCTATGGTATTGTAAGTTCAAAACAAAATAAAACAAAGAGTTATTAAATATCAAAAGACACTTGTTGACTTTTGATATTTATATCAGGCATGGGCAAACATTGGGCATCCAAGTGTTTGTACTTCTGGCTGTTAGGAATTCTGAGATTTGAAGTGCAAAACACCTGGAGGGCCCATGCCTTATATATACATGTATACATACATACATGTATACACATACAGGTTTCTCCAAAAGTTGCCATACATAGGGAAAATGGGAAATTGTAGCTACATTTATTAACAAAATAATATTAATTACAAAATGTTACAAAACCCTTCCAATATTATATATATTTTCTATTAAGAATATGTAATATAATGTAAAATATAATCTGAGTTTGTTACTTTTTCCTATGTACTGAGATTTTGGGGATAATCCATATATATTATATGTGAAACAGGCACATAGACAGTAAGAAAAATAAAATAATGCACTGAAAACTACTATATAAAAAGACATTGTCTTGTATTTCTCAGCCTAGTGCAAGCTGTCAGGTGTGTTTTTCTATAAAAGTGTTTTAAACTCCCCTTTAAATGCAAGTGGGCATCTTTGCTAAGTGGAATGTCAAAACTGGTTGGAGAGCATGGGGGCACTTGCTCACTAACTAGAAAGGCAGAGGAGTTGACAGAATCAAATTTTAAAAATTATGCAGATTACAGGAAAAGATCAGTTGGATCAGAACTGAAGTGTTATTGGCTGAACAGTTCACAAGCCTAGTGCTTTAAAAAAAATAAAGCGAGTCACTGCCTTCTGTTCTCTCAAACACATAAGGTGTTTTGTGGCATCATAATATGCTTAATTAAAAGGATACTCTAATTTAACACATTTCCTTATAAAGTATGTATTTTAATGTGCTTCTTCACACACTGCTGTACATTTTTGTTCAGTTTGATTAGCTGACAAAATAATATCCTTTTATATGCAGGGCCTTGAATGTTAGCTTCTCAGGTTCTGAATGTTTGCTGTCCAATATCTAATTCCTTCCAATTCCTTCCCGTTCTAATTCTTTCCACACCCCAGAAGAACCATTCTTTTATCTTATACCTACTGAATCACCCACTGATATTTATTCTGTTGCTGCTTATGTTGTGCAGAATAATTGCTACCTTAGTTAGTGATGTTCTCAAAAAAGTGACCTGGCTTAGAGTTAAAATATGCATTTAAAGTGCAGGTGAAAAACATCTCGTCTTATTATATAACACTTTTTACCTGCCCTTTTGTACACAACAGGAAGGTTAAAGTGTGTTAATGGATAAACTGACCTCTGATTAACTGAGTACACATGGACCACTAATATTTCGCTGCTGACTTTGTTTAACCCAAAGATCTTAGCTTTCTTTTCACAGGTGTGTCCCCAAAAGACCTGATCCCTCAGTCATTTCCCCCCTTGCATCCCCAATTATGTGGTTATTATGTTCACTGATGGCTCCCATATTTTCTGCAGTGTATCCGTTTTGTACCATAACCTTTCCCCTAA